ACTGCACACTCCAGGTGAAGGCCGGAAGCTCGTCAGACTGCGCGCAAACTCCAGGCTCATGGTGAGGGACTGAAGACACACCTGCACATGTGTAGACACAGGTCGGTGGGGCCAGCAGAAGCCGACGTTCCAGAGGGCGCTCGCGGAGCTGTGTGGCCGTCCCATCCATGTCTACACAGAAAGCATCACCAGGTCCAGAGCCACAGGCCCTCGAAGCCCACACCACCAGGGAGAGAGTGTGAGTCCAAACCTGTGCATCGTGACAACCGCGACTCCCTGTGACACAGCCGGGAGAGACGCAGGTGGGGCCACCCCAGAGAGCTGGTCTGCACACGAAGGAAGGGGCATGCAGAGCAGAGCGCCACAGGCTGGGATGGCCAGCAAGGCCCCAGGCTGGTCAGCCCAAGCGGCCTCGAGCCCCCTGCAGAGCGAGGACCCAGAGTCATGCGGACCTCCATCTCTGACCACGACACAACTGAGTGATAAACGAAGTATGGAAAACAGAGAAGCGACAGATTCGACGATGGAAAATTAACTGGAAAAAATCCATACATGGATATTACAGAACTTTGAAATGTCCTGTTATGTTGAAAAAATAATAGAAAAAATTTAAAACATTTTTAACTGAATGATTGTACACATAAAGGCATGTAAAATGCAGCTATAAATGCTTTTGTGCAAGGGAAGGGGGAAAAGTAACGAGCTGTGTAAGAAACCAGAACAAGAGCGGCACAGCAAACCCTCCATGGGAGTGGGAGGGCACAGAGACAAGAACGAGCTTCATTTTAACGAGCGGAGGAGCCCCAGTGCGGCCGGTCGGACTGTCTCCCTGCAGGAAGAGTGGACGCGGGAGTTACGGGGGCCAGCAGCCAGGCCCTGCAGGCAGTTAAGAAGTGAAAGAATAGAATGAACAGCTTTATGCCAATAAACTTGAAAATCTAGACAAAATGGACAAATTCCCAGAAAAATGTATTTCTAAAACTAACCCAAAGGGGCAAAGAACCTGTTCTTCATCCAAGGAAACTGAATCAGGAGGCAAACTCCCTGCAAAGCAACTGCAGGTGGGTGACTTCTTCTACACACTCACAAAGCAAACAACGCCAATCTCACACAAGTGCCACCATGGTACGGCACAGGCAACGCCATCCTCAGCGGGCTCTACAAGGTGTCTTGGCACCAAAACCTGATATGAGCAGCAGAGGGCGGGGTCTCAGGCGTGTGCACACAGTACTGCCGTGCATCTGAGGGCGGAGGATTAGTTTACCACCCGGCAGTCCATTCATGTATTTTCTACGTACTCAGCAATTAAAAAAAGAGAAGCCCCGGCCAGGGATTCAGTTGGTTAGAGCATCGTCCTGATGGGCCCAGGTTATGGGTTCACTCCCAGGACAGGGCACATACAAGAAGCAACCCATGAAGGCATAAATGGGTGGAACAGCCCTGGCTGGTGTGGCTCAATGGATTGAGCGCCAGCCTGCAAACCGAAAGGCTGCTGGTTCAATTCCCAGTCAGGGCACATGCCTGGGTTGCAGGCCAGGTCTCCAGTAGGGGGCATGTGAGAGGCAGCCACACACTGATGCTTTTCCCTCTATCTCCCTCCCTCTCCCCAAAAATAAATAAGTAAATTTTTAAAAAGAAGTGGGTGGAACAGCAGATCAATGTTTCTCTCTCCTTTCCTGTCTCTAGAATAAAGACATGATTTAAAAAAAAATTTTTTTTTAAGATTTTATTTATTTATCTTTAGAGGGGAAGGGAAGGAGAGAGAGAAATATCAATGTATGGTTGCCTCTCGTGCGTCCCCTGCTGGGAACTGGCCTGCAACCCAGGCATGTGCCCTGACTAGGAACCGAACTGCGATCGTGTGGTTCGCAGGCCCGCGCTCAATCCACTGAGCCACACCAGCCAGGGCTTAAAAAGACGCAATTTTTAAAAAACAGATTACATTCAATATCTTCTCACAGTAAGTGCAGAATAAATCCCTAAGGAGCAGCCATTGCACAACCATCAGAATCACTGACATTGACGAGAGGATGACACGGAAGGTGACACAACTGGTGGCTGTGGATGGCAGTGCCACCCCTTCAGAAAACTGGCCACTTCTCATGACGCTGACAGCCGCCCGCCTCCCGTGGCCGGTTACTGCCAGAGAGAAGTGAGCAGACACTGTCCCACACTCTGCACAGTCACAGTGGCTTTGAACACGGGAGACCCGACCAGGAACGGCCCAGACGCCTGCCACCAGGAGCAGGTTCAGACAGAGTGCGGCCCGTGGTGAGAAGAGGAGGACTCCTGGGCTGCAGTGTGGAGGGGCCAGGCCAGGCCCAGGTGCTGCCTGCCAGCCCGAGAACCTGAAGCCCAGGATGCAGGGGACCTGCTGGGGCGCTAAGCCAAGAGGCAACCTTCCTAAAAAACCAGGCACACAGCTGTCAAAATTCACACATCCACCTGAATGAAGGTCCTTCTGTGTGTGTAAACCAAATATCCATGACCCCTCAAACAGACCAAGGGGTGAACAAGGAGGTTGCAGAACATGCAGAAATAAGAGCATGTGAACAGATGTCCGACCTCAGACACTAACAACTTGTGAACCTCAAAAGTGGGAAGTGCAAGCGTCTGTCTGAAGTGCCCCAGACCCTTCAGGAAGCCTGGACAGGAGGGGACAGGTGGCCCTCTTGGGATTCCAGGAGTGGGGCCCAGCAGCAGGAGGCAGTGGAAAGCTCAGGGTTGACGAGGAGGAACGCTGTGTCACCACGAGCAAATCTGTGAAACAGAGCCTGCCTGCCACCCTGAGCGGGAAGAGCAGGAGAGATGAGGCCAGTGGCGCTGGGGAGCACCGCAGGCTGCACAAAGCCAAGAACACACCTCGTCCTGAGGTGGGGGGGCAGCACATTCGGGCAAAACGGGTTTGCTACCACCAAAGATGCTGCTGAGACTCGTGGGGGAAAGGAGAAAGCAAACCAGCTGAAGAAAGAAAGAGGAATTTCGCTGATGAGGAAGTACAAATGGGCTGCATTAGCAATCAGAGAGATTCAAGTGAAAACCACAATACTATTTCACACCTACCAGACTGGCAAAAATGAAAAGTCAGGCAGTGCTGGTAGGAGTGCTGGAGGGGGGCGGAGCTGGCACAGTGCTCTGGGAAGCTGCCTCCCAGAGTAACACTGGGCACAGCCCCCAAACCTCACTGCCCGCACGTGCTCACCACTGGTCCGCCTGCCCACACCTGGAAACAAGCCAAAAGACCGGGACAGGGGAGAGATGCACGCCACTATGGGATGGGGTCACCATGAGGAAGAGGCTGACAACAGCACAGATGCCACTCAGATTCTTAAAGAGATCAGGCAAAACCAAGAACAGAGAAAACGTGACCCCCTTCACAGAAGTCCCCGCAGAGCACCACCAGCCTGGCAAGGACTCATGCTCCAGAGAAACAGGGGGCTGAACCACCTCCCAGGACAGGGAGGGGCCTCGGCGGGCTCACAGTCTGAGTGGCGGCTCCCAGACAGCCAGCACTGTCCAGCCCAGGCCCCTGCCTCCCGCCCCACTGGGTCCTGGCACAAACAGAGTGGGCTTCCTGCAGGGCCCATGAGGGGCCGACCCCTCCTGAACCCCCGCTCCAGCTAACACGCTGTGGACTTCCTTGGAGCCCAAGAGCTGCTAGAGAGGCACGGCACCCTCAGGCTGCGTGCCGAATGTGTCTGTGGGCACGTGGCCAGGAGGGGCAAGCGGGACCAGGGGATGGGGTACAGCCGCATGCAAGGTCCAGGGGAAGCTGGTGACAGCGCAGAGGGGACAGGAGAAGCCGGGGGGGAGAGGGTCCAAGATGACCTCTGGTTGTGGGACCCAGCGCTGGGGCAACTGCCAAGACAGGAAAGAGAGGAGGCCAGGCCGGGGGAGAAGCTCCTGAGCGTGGCTTTGAGGCCCACTCTGAGCACTCAGCACAGCTTCGGCCCTGTGCTCCTGTGTCCTCCACACATCACTCAGAGCCACCTGTTGGAGGAGCTGAGGTAGAGTGCATGGCCCCCTCAGGGCACACCAGCCACTTCGGTGCTGGAGGACACTCCTGAGGTGTCCCCCCCCAGCAGGTCTCCCCAGGAGGGCTCTTCCCTACAGCCCACCTGCAGCCCCTGTGGCCAGCTGCACACCCCAGGACCAGGCCCTGGAGCTAGGGCTTGTTTCCCCCCCTCAGCCTGGCGCTTCTGCAGCAGGGACCTTGGAGGGGGAAGAAGCCAGGAGGAACAGGGAAGTCAGGAATGTGAGCGCAGTGGGGCTGGTGGGCCTGCAGAGAAGCCTCCACCAGCTGTTACCACGGGTACAGGGCTTCCCCAAGTGGGAGGCGAGTGTCTTTTGCAATGGCAGAATTGACGGCATGATGCAAAAAGTAGTGTTGACGTACAAGCAGGTATCTCTAAATTTGCAGGCGCAGCGCAAACGGGAAAGGGCAGAGACTGGAAGCCCCAGCCCCCAGGGCTACCTCCAAGGATGTGCTGGGTGAAAGAGAACAGTCATGGTCCCGGGTCTGTTTGTCCTCTGTACAGTGTACCCTGAGGGTCAATCCCAGGACACTCAGACTTCCGTGTGGCTGGATGCAAAAGAAACTCTGTGGTGCCCGGTGGAGAGAAAAGGCACCCTAGGTGCACTCCACCAGCACCACATCAATAGGAGGACGCGAGAACGCTGTCTGGGAGCCAACCAGGTGAGAGCCCAGGAGACCGGGACCTGGGACACCCTCCGGCTCAGGGATTCCTCGCAGGGAACGCTTGTGCGTGCCCGAGGAGGGGCGCAAACCCTGCGGCCCCAGGCGCGGGGTCCCGGGTGGAATCCCAGGAAGCGGGTCCCGGGTAGAGGCCCCGGATGGCCGGTCTCTGTGGACGGCCTCGGGTGGGGGTCCCGGCTGGGGAACCCAGAGCGAGGTCCCGGGTGGCCGGTCCCGAGTGGGGGGCCCCGACTGGCCCGCAGGTGCGCGCGGGAACAAAGCGACCGGCCGGGCGGCGGCGTACCTGGGCACGCAGCTGGGACTGGAGCCGTCCACCTCCCAGGTAGCGAACAGGTTCATGGGCACCGGCGTGTTGAGCGCCGCAGGCGGGCCGGTCAGGCCCAGACGGCCCCGCTCGGCCATGGCGCCGGCCCCCCGCTCCTCGGTGGCCTGGGGCTGCGGCCGGGCCGCGGACGCGCGGCGGCGGCGGCGGGCGGCGGGCGGGCCGGGCGCGCGGAGGGCGGCGGCGCGGTCACATGGCGGCTAGGCAGCTGGGACTGCCGGGCGGGCAGCGGACAGGCCCGCGGGCGGCGACGAAGCTGCTGCCGCCCCGCCCCGCCCCGCGCGCGCCCGTCGGAGCGCCCGCGCCGCGCGTCCCCCGGGCTCCGACCGCGCCGCCGCCGCCCATTGGCTGAACAGGAGCGCGCTCACCACCTCCGGCCCAATTACCGCCTGCGGAGCGTCGCCGGAAGTGAGGTTGGCGCACTATCTTCCCGCGGGCGCCGCGCCAGGCATTCCCTCCCACAGCTCGCGGTGGCGCGCGCAGGCTCCTGCGCACAGGCTCCGCCCGGTGCGTCCCGCCCCCCCGGGGGATGGGCGGGAGGGGAGGGGTCCGGCGGGAGCCAAGTCTCGCTGCCGGGCAAGTCCACGAAGCGCGCTTCCCTGTCCACGCGTCCCGCGACTTCCCAGGAGCACTCATTTTTCCTACACACCAACCCTGGCTTCTTGCGCGTCCTCGGAGTCTCCCCGGCCCTCGCGCACTCCCGGTGTCTCCTGGTGCCCTTCTGTCCCCTACTGTTCCCTGTGTCTCCCGCAGAAACCCCCTAGATCACCGGGCCCCAGCGCCCCTCTGTCCCCGCAGGGCCTGGCGGACGGCCTGGGGACGCCATGTAGCTGGGGAGCGAGGCGCCGGAGGGGGTTTCTGCTTGGGGGGCCCAGGGGAGCCCCTCAAGCGCAGGGTGTGGGGTTTAAATCCCCCCTGGCGTGTCCTCTTTCTTCCCGAGTCTCCTTATTGTCCAGCAACACCCTGTCTGCCTTTTTTACAGTATACAATGGAGAACAAATGTCTGGGACAGGAGCGGCTTCTAACCAAGGCTCAGTGAAGTTGGGGACCCAGGTTGGTAGTAGGCAATGGGCAGAGCTGTCCACTGGGCCCACAGGGCAGGGAAGGTGGGAAAAGGCCCTAGGAAAGTACATCTGGGTTTGGGGGCCAAGGAGTCCCTTCCTCCCATCCTTTTGGCAGTGGTTCTGGTCAGTCACCAGATACTGAGATTTAGGAAAAGCTTTGCTGGCACCTCTTCTGTTTCTTTGTATCCACAGTGTGACACAGATGCTTTCCTCTCCTGTCCCCGTGTCCTGTTGTCTAGAAGCAGTTTTACTGAAACAAGTCAAATCGACTTTCTTCCACTGCCTCCAGGCTCATATCCCAGAGCCCCTGGGAGCCCTTTCTCCGGCAAAGGATCCCTCCCGGCCTCCAGCTGTAACTTGGTATCTGGAGCAAAAACAGCTGCGTCTGCTTAGAGCTGCTTTGGAGAGAACAAGAGAGTCTGTGTTTCCCACGTGTTGGGTGGTGCAACCAACAGCACCAGAGTCCGTCCCGCTCGGCCAGCTGACTGGGTGTTGGCTTACACTGCACATTACTGCTCCTGCCACTGGCACCTGTGGGTCTCATACCTACAAGATGGGGGCGTTCAGAGGGCAAGGCACAGTCCCTGTTGACAGACTGCCTTTGGTGACAACAGGAGACAGACACCCACTGATCTTAGCCTTTGGCATGTGGCACTGCGGGACAGTGCGAGGTGGTCAGATGAATGGACCACCTGACATTGTGTCTGTTTACACCAGCATCTCACCCAGGCAGCGAGTACAGTGGGGTGGGGGGAGTGAAATGAGGGAAAGCAGGGTGACTAAGCCCAGCACACAGAGGCTTGACACCAGCTGCTGGCCAGCCGCAGTGCAGCTGGGCCCTTCCTCCACACCAGACAACCTTGTGAGCCCTTCCTGGGCATGACAGCCTGTCCCATCCCCATTTGACAGTTGAAGAAACTGAGGCATGGGAGATTATGCAGTTGCTAAGAGAGGAGCCAGGGTGGGAGCCCACACAGTCTGGCTCCGAATGGCCTCCCCACCCCAAGCCACTGCTATGGTGAAAATGCTTGCATTGTTATGCAAGGCAGGGACTCAGATGCAAAGACATGCCGTGCACACTGTGCCCATGACTCTGTGTGCTCGTTTGTTCTTCGGGTGGGGCCATGTAGACACCAGAACGTCAGTGGTGGTGAGACTGGGGTCTTCTGGCTTTTCCAGACTTCTGCAGTGGACAGATACTGTTTCAGTGATCAGTTACTTTTTTTTGGCCAGAACCTTGTATTTGCATTGTCCCCTTCTGTACTTGAAAATTATTCTGTTCATCTTCCCTCAGGTGACTGTGGTCCCAGGTTGATACTGTGACAGTGAGGACGATGCCCCTCTCAGTGAGCCTGGCACGGGGTGACACACACTTCCAAATGTGTGGCATGCACCTGGTCTTTCTGGTAGCTGTTTCTTTAAAGCAAGAACTTGCTCCAAGAGGAACCTCTCTGGACAACAGGGGTGGCTGGGTGTGGCTGGGTTGGACGCCAGAGGAAAGTATCATCCAGAGCCCTGGGATTCCGGGAGGGCACCCTGAAAACCTTCGTGAGATTCTGTGCCACCTGCCTGCCTCATTTCTAAACAAATTAAAGCTTCGGCCCTGGCTGGTGTGGCTCAGTGCATTGAGCACTGGCCTGGGAGCCAAAGGGTGGCCAAGTTCAGTTCCCAGTCAGGGCACAGGCCTGGGTTGTGGGCCAGGTCCCCAGTAGGGGGCGCGTGAGAGGCAACCACACATTGATGTTTCTCTCCCTGTTTCTCCCTCCCTTCCCATCTTGAAAAATAAAATCTTTTTTAAAAAGGATGAATTATCTTTAGAGGGGAAGGGAAGGAGAGAGGGAGAGAAACATCAATGTATGGTTGCCTTCTGTGTGTCCCCTGCTAGGAACTGGCCTGCGGGGAACCGGCCTGCAACCCAGGCATGTGCCCTCCCTGGGAATCGAACCGCAACTGTCTGGTTCCCAGGCTCGCGCTCAATCCACTCAGCTACACCAGCCAGGAAAAAAAAAGTGGATGAATTAAAGCCTTGGGTTTCCCAGGGGTGCAATAGGACTCCGGCTATATTGAAGCCCCAGCTTCTTCGGGCACTATGTCCAGGCTCACAGCCCCTTTTCTGAGGTCCCAACCATTGTCACTGGGGTCCCTCCATTGGCAGGGGCTCTGGCAACTCACTGGTCTCTTCAGCCTGAGTTAAGATGATACACCCAGGCATGGGGGCGTGCTATGGCCCCGGGCAGGTCTGGCCCCTGCAGGCAAGAAGTGGGCCCTGGGATCACAAGGCCCAGGTGCAGGGATGGCGGTGCCCGCAGCAGGCTCATGCACACGGAGATGGCCGCCAGCTCGGGCCCTCTGCTGCGCCCACGTGGGGAGGCTTGTGTGCTCCCGTGCACGGTCGCCACTCTCTGCATGGTTCAAGTTGGTGGGGGGAGTGGCCAGGGCCCCCTGTAGAGCCCAGACGCCTGTCGGCTGGCTGGACCCCCCAGTCCGCTCCAGCCCACCGAAGCCCGCAGCACTATGCAGCCTACGCTTCCTTTTGGGGGCAGGTGGAGGAAGCGGCCCTGGAAGGGGAAGTCCCTGTCTGGTCCACGCTCCTGGAAGATGGACGTGGCTTTAGAAACCCCTAGGTGTGGTCTGTGTCCCATCCACCCCCATGAGGCTGAGCCGCTGTCACTGAGGGAGGGACACAAATGCCCTGCACAGTGTGTCAGGGGCAGTGCCAGGGCAGCAGTCCTCTTCCAGGAGAGGGAGAGCTGTGGCCACGAACCCCAGCACAGCCAAGGCACGCGGGGAACAACCGAGCACCAGGCCCCAGTGCGTCGGGGACGCCCCCCCAAGCCTGCTCACCCTGACAAGCGCCTGCGCCGCAGGAGTCACAGCCGTGTGGCACCTCCCCTGGTTGCCTGCTAAGTGGCTGGTGCGCAACAGATGCCCTCTCCCCACAGCTGCTGGTGTGCCGTAGGAGCCGCCTGATGAAACAGCCCAGGTGACCCTCACAGAGCTGAGTCCATGGTCCACACACTTGGTCCTTTGTTCCTTTAGGAAACGACGGTGCAGCTGGTTTCAATTTCTGGGAACCCAGGAAAGAAAAGTGGGACCAGGTCTTGCCCTTGTGGACCCATGGCCTCCTGGGGAGACTGCTGGGACGGGCCAACCAATATACACACTGGGCTTCCAGATAATAGGAGCACAGACTGGGTGTGGTTGCCGAGACGGGGAAGATGTAGCCAAGCTGAGGACTGGGGACAGCGAGGAGCCAGCCACAGGAAAGGGCCTCGCTGGCCGGGGAGCCCCGGGATGCCCGGTCTGCTCAGCTGGTGCTCTGGAGGGTAAAATACCGCCCAAGGGTCCGGGCCAGGCCTGCCCGCAGCGAGGTCGGCACTAATACCCATGTTGCCACGTGGGCTCGGAGCCCCCGAGCCAGCACGTTGTCCCAGGGTTGCTGGTTGGGAGGACCCTAGGCGGCTGCCGGGAGCAGCAGCAGTCATCCAGGGTGCCTGCCCCCTTCCCCCCCAGCGGGACGGGATTGCCACAGACACAGGCACCCAGGCGAGGGACAGCAACTCCTAAGGAAACGAGCCGGCACCTGCTGGAGGTGAGGGAATGAGCCGTGAGGACCATCGGGTCCTGGAAACGCACAAGCAGGCTCGGGGGGGACGTGAGAAGGAAGGAGATAACACAGAAACCAGGACTGAGCAGCCTTCAAAACACAGTACCAAAGAGAAGTCCTCGAGTGAAGAAACCAAAGTTCGTCCAGTGTGGTGGACGGGGTGAAAGAAGCACGTCAGGGGCTGCTGAAGACAGAATGGCTGAAGTGGAAGACCAGCCTGGAGAGGTGGACCAGGTTGCAGCACTAACAGGAAGCACGAGAGAGGTCCAAACTGCGGAGGCAGGCGCTCAGTGTTCTGGGGCCACGGGGAAGCCGCTTCACCAAGGGGGAGCCTTTGCGTCCGGGCAGGTGAGCAGAGTGGGCAGCGAGTGCGGAGGTCCCGTGGCCGGAACTGGCCTGCCCTGCAGGCTCGCAGCGGAAATGAGGACGACGGAGACAGAGGCGGGTGGAGAGGTGAGCGGGGGCAGAGCCCGGTGGCACAGCCTGGGTCCCCGTGCTCACTCTGCACTGGCAGAGGCTCCCCACAGCGGGGAGAGACAGTCTGCTCCCGGAGCGGGAGGAGGCAGGCGTGGACGGAGAGGTGTG